GATTTTAGAAGGAACGGAATACAAGCGAAGGCTAGGAGAAGGAGAGGAGGGAGAGCAGGGGTCGGAGGGGGAAGTAGAGAAAGAGAAGGAGATAGGATGGGAGGAAGTAGAGAGAGTGCTAAAAGGCCTAAAAAAAGGTAAAGCGGCGGAAGAGGACGAGATAGGAAATAAAGTGTGGAGTTATGGGGGAAGTGGTTTAAGAAAGGCGTTATGGGAGAGTATGGAATGGAGAGGGTTTTCCAGAGACGTGGAAGGACGGAGTAGTCGTTCCGATAGCGAAAAAGAGGGGCAAAAGAGGTGAGTGAGCATAGAGGGACGCGTCGATATTAGCAGATAGGTTGAGGGAAGAGATGGTGGAGAAGGGGATGATCCCAGAAAGCTAAGCAGGGTTTAGGAAGAGGAGAGGAGTGGTGGACAACATTTACACACTGAATTATGCGATAAGGAAGCGATTAAAGAGGAAAAAGAAGGTAGTGGTTGCTTTTGTAGATCCAAGGGCAGCATTTGATTCAGTGGATAGGAGGGTTTTGGGAAGATGTCCGAAAGAACTAGGGGTGAGTGAGAGATTGGGAAAGAGAATCATGGAAATATACGAGAAAACAAGGAGTGTAGTGAAGGTAGAGAAAAGATACGGATGGAAATTTTGGACAGCGAAAGGGGTAAACGGAAAAATTGACAGAGCCGATCAGGATTTAAACTTGAAACCTTTCGTTTTCTACCTTCGTAGTCTGTTACTGTGTGTTGCTTCACAATTGCTTTACCCCACATAGCAAAATGTTGGCAGTATGCCGACAGCATGCCAGTAAATTTATCTCATAATTTTGCAGCAAGATTTTCTTGTGCTGTGTTTTTTATTCTATCCTATTTGATTTTTACTACCTTATAATTTGTTTTATCACTAAGTATGCCAGTTTACGTTGCATCTCAATTTTAAATTTAAATATAAAACTGCATTATATATATGAAAAGAATAAAACAAAAAGAAAAATTTAAATAGTTTTAGGACGTTACACAAACATGAAAAATAATCTAATATTATCAATAATATATTTATTATTATTTAAACTGTACAATTAGTAAAAGAGATTTGGGTAAATTTTATTTTTAATAATTGCTTTTGAATGATTCGTTTTTAGCATATTTTATATATAAAAATCAATAAATGTGTAAAAAAAGTAAGGATTTTTACGTTTTTAATTATATAAGTAAATTATGTCCTCATCAGCATTAATAAAGTGCGGTGTTTAAGTTCGAGAAATAAGGAGGTGTCGCTTTAGAGGACCTATGTCGATATTAGCGACTTACCTCTTCACTTCTAATAAAAATATAAAAAATGTATAGTTGTATATTCGTGAAATAAAATAAATGCGCGCGCGTAGCGCGCGCCTGTGTCGTTCTATTCGTGAAATAAAATAAAAGCGCGCGCGTAGCGCGCGCCTGTGTTGTTCTAGTCCATAATAAAAAAAGTCATGTTTACCGAGAAGTGAGCTTTGCGAGTCGAATATCTCGCACGTAATGTTGCCGCTTTTCCGCGTGCGTGATTGGCTGGCGCGGTTGAGATTGACGGCGATCGCGAGATCGCGGCGAGTTTGGCGAGTTTCGCGTGTGTTAAATCGTGCGACGTGACGTGTGTTCGCGTGGTGTCTCGCGAGGTTAGTAGGATTTTTTATTATATATAATCCACTATTATATATAATATATGTGGATAATATTGGTAAATAAATATCTTTTAACGCAATGACGTGTGCTCGCGTGGTGTCTCGCGAGGTTAGTTATATTTATTGCTTGCTCGTACAAATCTAATCTAAGGTATACGTTACAGTAACTATAGATTTTTGATACAGATTTATCTTTAAAATCATATTTTATATATAAGCAGATGTAAGTGATAATTACTGTTTTTGCATTATGTAAAATTTGCCTTATTTTAGATATACCGATGAATTTAATTTTCGAGAAGATCTGATGGGATTAGCTATTGGTGCTCATGATGCAAATATTCAACAGCGTGAAAAGTTGATGACATTACAAATATAGTTAGAAGAAAATTCATGCACATTTAAGATATATAAAGAGGTAATTATAAAAATTATTATTGCTTGTATTATTTCAAAGAGTATTGTTTTATAAAAGTTTACTGACCGGTTTTTTATCTAAAATGTATATACATATTCGTATATATGTTGCATTATATTGAGCTGGTATACAGAGCTTATCAGATTTCTTTCTCAATCACAGACGCATGAAGCTGTTAAAGACCGATCTATGCAGGAATACAGCAGTAACCTAAAAATAGATAGTGACAGTGTGACAGTCGTGACCATCGCCGCGTGATAGATGATAGTGATAGTGAAATATATATTGACGGCAGGGAGCTGATGCCGAGGAGATCTTTAAGAAGGAAGGTATATCCAAAATCGCACACGTACGTATATATGCTGTCTTGTAAAAGTTGTAAAAGTTAAGAGAACGAGAAAATGATCTGTATTTATAGGCACGTGTGACAGGCACTATCGGGCACTATCGCGTAATAAAGATTTCTCCGAAGAATGTTATTGTACTTTACTTGCGTTAACTTAGATGCTTCAAATGTACAATCTCGCGTCTTCAAAATATAATAATTCTCAGACACTGTTGAGGAATAATTGTCTAGCATAAGAAGTCCTCTTATAAATGTCCTCCTTTTCTCTCGTTTTTTCACGCAGGACCATTTTATATTCAACTATATGGTATACAATTTTGCCGCTATATATTGACCGCAGGGAGCTGATACCGAAGAGATCTTTAAGAAGGAAGGTGTATCCAAAATTGCACATGTATGTATGTATATGCTGTCTTGTAAATTGTAAAAGTTGAAAAGAACGAGATAGCGTTCTGTAGCACAATTTATATTGTAGGCAAATTATGCTAAAATATTTGTGAATTGAGTTCCTATTATCCATTATTATGATATAGATTTTATCAACAATATTAGAGAAGTAACGAAAATTAATTTTATTAAGTATTTAAAGCAATTGAGAGTTTTTAGCATTAAGTATTTCCATTTTCTCATAATATGCTTAAAAAATATTGCAGGGGACTTGTGAGTTATGCGAAGCAATTGATACTATTAAGGTTCATTGGTCATATGAAGTTTGCACACGTCAAGCTTGACATCCTAAAGATCACAATGCATTCTGAAAATGATACCGTGCAGGTTCATTGGCGTATACGTGGTGTCGTTACAGGCTGGAAGGTATTTTCTATGTTTTGGAAGTAAAATTTGGAAAATACAACATGTCATAAAATAAGCGTTAACCAGGAAATGTAAGTGTAATCAGTGCTCTAAACATTCTTTCTAATAGTAATATAAAATTGTTCTTATAAACATTAATTATAATTAATTCAAATTGTCTATTATTTGAAAAAAACTTGATTTTTAGTTTCGTTTTTTATTCTACTTTCAGAAAAAGATAAAATAATTTAGATTTCCTAAAATTATTTTTGCTTATGCTATCGGAGAGGAAACACTTATTATAAAATTGATTATAATACCAAGACAATTATATATAACGATTTCAGATGGTACGACGACTTTTTTATTTTTTAAGTTAATGCTGAATGGAAAAGTCTATAAGCATATTGCGGACAAGATGATGCCTAATCAGGATACAGTCACGAAAAAGAAAGATATGCGCATGGCAGGAAAATTAACGCTATTCACAGACCTTGTATGCACATTTAGTAACAACAAGGATTCTTTGAAATGAGCTCTGTCTTAAAATGGCAACAATTGAAGTGAATCCACTGCTGAGTGGTGAAATTATTTTATGCGGTTTTATGCGTCACAACGAATAGACCAAGAGAAATGTTTTTTCCAGTCGATGGTTTCGAATTTTGCTGACGTATCTATTTCGTTGCAAATGCATCATTATGAAATGATGATCGGTATGAAATGAGAGATATGTGAATTAAAAAAATGTGTACATTACTTAAACAGTATTTTTGTATGATTACAAAATATCTTCATCTAATTTATTAGTGACAATGTCCGAATAATTTGCGTTAGTATTTCTGTGTAAAAAAAATATGACGATTATATTATATCTGACGATTTTAACATAATTATAGAGGTAGGGTGTCCAAATTGTTATCGTTCCATCCATATGCAGCTTTTATACTATTCGGATAGTATCGATATTTTATGCTGCTTAGAAACAAGTAAAAAATATTTTAAGACACTTGTATCGTTTCCAGAATATAAAAACTTGTGTTTAGATTACAGATATACGTTTTGGGTACTGACGTATCTATTTCGTTGCAAATGTATCATTATGAAATGATGATCGGTAGCTTGTCTAGCTTTGGCAAGTTTCACACCCAATGCACTTGTAACTAATCTAGCTAAGGCGGCGAATGTTTCCGACTACTTTTCGACATCTATTGCGTTCATGCGTCGATTGCGTGTTATTTAAAATTTTTGTAATTGCATTAAAAATGGTCAGATATAGGCCAAAACGTTTGTAAATTAATTGTTTATTAAATATCTTAACAGGAACATTTTGTTACGGTTTTGCGCCCGATTTTTTGTACGTTTTGATTTGTAATTAATTGAGCCTTTCAAGATTATTATTAAAAAATGTCATATGCCATATTGTATATAATTTTATCTTTAGTTTTTTATTTACCTATCAACGATTTTCCGTATCTAAAAAGTACCATTTTGACCCTCCTAAATAATTCAACTTTTTTAAAGATATCTATCTGTACTATTTAAAAATTAAACATTTTTAAAGAAATCCATCTCTTTCCTTTATTTTTATTCAAAGTTCATTAAAATAAAATATTAAATAAACAATGTTTATCAAAATGACTATAAAATCGTCAACTACAATGTAGACAGATGTTTTGTGAACTATTCAGATTTTTTAAAATATTTTAAGGTAGAGAAAATAACGTCGGATGCGACAGACGCACGTACGCATTGCGAAGGTAAAAAAAAAAACGTATGCAGGTGGAGGGTTAAGCAGTAATTGGATATTTGTTTAAGTTGAAATAAATTTTATTACTTCCAAATGCAAGTAAATCCAACAAATAAATTTGTTAAGCTCTTGGGTCATGTTAGATCGTAACGTCAGAGGCGAGAAATGACACACTGAGAATTCTTACGTGTTATTTTAAAATAAAAAGATATTTGGATAAAAAAAAAATACTTTAGACCGTTTTATAAAATGTTCAGAAAACTATCCTTTTCCCTCGAAAGTTAATAAATGGCCGTAAAATGAATGTGATACGAAACCTAGTCATGCGCTGCTCAATAAGCTTGCATGACTAGGCTTTGTATCATATTCATTTTACAGCTGTTTATTAACTGTCAAGGGAAAAGAGTAGTTTTCAGAACATTTTACAAGTGTATTAAAGCGATCTGAAGTGTTCTTTTACTTAAATATTTTTATTTAAAAATAGCACGCAAAGATTCTCAGCGTGTCATTTCTGATGTCACGATCTAACATGGTCGCAGCGAGCACTTAGGAGTCTTAAGCCGTTGAAAGTATGTAAAATCAAGAAATTGAATTTCTAGAGTTAATCAAAATAAATTAAATTAAATCAAATTAAGATGACATAAAAGTTACTTGTTATATATAAAAATATTATACGAAAATATGATATTCACCTCTGTGATTTACAAAACTGATAACATTTGTTTAAATATCTGTAATAATGTAGTACTTGACAGAGTTAATTACGTGTCTTCAGACATGCATCACAATCTAAGCAATATTATCTATTTTCTATCTGTCACAACAACTCATTGTAACACAGAGGAGATTTAGAGATATCACTGATTATATCTCTCACTTATACACAGAAGCTATAAATTTCTTTATTTAAATTACTACAATCTGAGAATACGTTCGTTTTGGGGGATGATCAAAGTTGCTTCAGCTTAAGCGATCTAAACTCAAAACAAGCTATGCTCAGAAGCCTTCTTCTTCCAGTTTTCTCTTTCCAAAAGAATTTTGCGACTCTGTAACTTGGTTCCACTTGACGTGTCATATCTATTAGGCAGAGCAATTTCTTAATACACCGATGAATACACTGAAATGATAAAATACATGATGATAAAATATATAATAAAATATATATTATAAAAATATATACAATGATATCTATAACAAAGTATTTGCCCTACGTGTCATATACGCTAGATAATATCACATATATTGTCCGATGTCTGAATAAGGAAAATAAGGATTTTAATAACTTAACCGTTTCCCTTGAAGCTTTGCATCCAAGAAAGCCATTTCTGAGACGAGATCAACTTCTTCCAACATGTTTAACAGATGATCAGGGGTTGATAAATTAGGCACATGAAAGCAGATATTAAATGCTGAAAATAATTCAACATCATCTACTTGTCTGCAAAAAGAAATATATTATTTTGTAATTTAAATAAATTATATGTATGTTTTTAATAATTTTACTTTCTGAAAAAAAAGTTCTTGTTTTACCTGCTAGTAGAAAGGCACAGAATCAACAGTTTGCAACCACGCGACTCGCTGATTTAATGCGATGTCCGATTACCTAAAATATATATAGATAACATAATACATATTAATAGTTATGTTTATAAAACGTTTGTAATAATTTATAATAATTTATATAACAATTTGTAATAATTTATAATAATTTATAATAATTTTTATAATAATTTGTAACAATTTCTAATAATTTCTAATAATTTTATATTTGTCGGAATATACCAGGAAGATTTTCTTTAATTTCTCTCTTTTACACTTATATTAAATTTACTTTTACCTATTTACTTCTTTATGTATCAATTAATATCTTACCTTTCAATCACTAGCTGTCATTCTTATTACTTATTTGACACTTCGTATACATGATCCGTATATGCTCTGACCTTACGTCACCGCGGCTGTCACGGCAAGTCCGTGAGCAGCGGCTGTCATCGCTCGCATGATGGAGTGCGTCCCAAAACCTATCACGAAAAGTGGGACAACCTTTCTGTCGGCGAGTGTACATGCGATGCGCGTGCCGAAACTTAAACTGCGATAGCGTCGTATACGTGTGGTAGCTCTTTTACTTCATGGCTGTATTGTCGTGAGGCGGCTGGCTCAGAGTTACGCCCGTTAATCTACGCTAATAAGAATTAATCGATCTACAGCTACGTAGCGAAAGCAAAACATAAGATAGCGAACTGCGAGAATACGTGCGCGCGTGGGCAAGCGCGTGATGCAATAATAAGCAATAATACTAGGAAACGAACGCGTTCGGTGGGCTCGAATGGTTTATCGCTAACGATATTTAAATGCGTCGTTACTCCTTGCGATCTGACTGGGTTAATTCGTTTTTGCGTTATGTACGACGGAAAATATAAAGAATGAAGATGTACTGTACGCGTCGAGAGGATGGTGCTGAATAGGCAAGATAACAGGCGGTCCGATAACGCTCGCGGCGCGATAGGGCCGGCGAACGCTACGGGAGTTATGTCTGTTATTATTTCGTTCTAATGAATTAAAATATTGCCGACCGAAGTCACGTTCTCCCTAGTCGTATCTCCGCGAAATGGGACAAGCGATCATTAATAATACTCTTAATAACTAAGGTGTACAATGAGGCAACTAACAATAAGACGCACGCTACGGGAGAGAATTAACGCATGGGCGCCCAAAAAGGGGGAAAAAGAAGAAGAAAAAAAAAGAAAATGTATCGACGGACGTCACACTTGTAAATGGTTGGAAATTTAATAGGAGTGTATAGGAAATATTTTGCAGGGCTTTCACTAAAGTATTATATAACGTTGGAAAATTTTATCATTAATATATGTGTTTGTTAATAACAAATTATTTATTAAACAATTTGGCAAACTTTAATTCGCATATTAATATATTTTTATAGAGTTGTTAACGAAGAGTGTGTGTGTTATTAGAATTCGTTTATACAAGAATGAGTTTTCTATTATTATATATATTTTATAAATAAACATTCGCAGAGATGAATGTTGTAGTTATTTTTATAGGGCTATTAATGGAGAGGGTGCACATGTTATTGAAATTCATTTATACAAGAATGAGTTTTATTATAGGGTGTCGGGACACAAATAGAGGTATGTATTTCTTCAATTAATTAGGTATAAGAGTTTATTAAAAATTATGCTTTATATATTATTTTTAAGGGAAAATGTTCAGGTTATCAGTGTATTTCGGGCCGATTCCCGAGGCGACGCCTCCTATACCCCCACTACCGCTCGAGGCTCAACGGCCGAGCCGCCGATCGCTCACGTGACGCGTCATCTCAGGAGCGTCACGCATGCTATAAGCATGATGCAACTGTAATCTCCCCCGAATAATATTAAAAAGTTAGTTGTATAGGTTAGAATATATAATTATAATTAAGACAATAGTTTCCGCGCCACCTATGGGATACTATTGCTGACGCGTTTTTTTTTTTCAAGTGGTTTTTCCAGTAGGCCTATTCCACTAAAAAGAAAAATAATGTGAAATTTATTAATGAACGAAAGAGCTAGCTCGCATTAATAAAGTTAATGATTTATCGTTTAAGCTTAAAAAAGAATGTTTATCGGTTTTTATGATTTCCATTTTCGAAAAGGAGCATTCACATAAGAATGTGGATCCAAAATGGAAAAAAATTCGAAGACCAAAATTTTTAAGATCAGGGTAACTTGAATTATTTAAAATCTTAAAAAAGTCCGCTTCTTTTTCTGGACAAGTCTTGAGGGAAAGATTATTTTACAAATCGCAAAGTGTGTGTGTTATAATATAACTCTTGAATTAAATATTGAATTAAGTCTAAATTTTGTTCTTTAATTTCCGCAGTGAGAAGATATTCGAACAGAACCAAGTCCCTTCTAAGACTTTTGAAGTCAGTAAAACGCGTGTCGAACTGACTTATTAATGAGTCAATTAAGTGAATGTTTTTTTAAATTACAGCTTGTGCCGTATTCTTCGAAGAGAATTTGGTAAGAGAGATAGAAATGGAGAATACCTTTTTCCAAATAATTTTTAAATAAAATTAATTTTCTACGAAATGAATCAATATGATTAATTAATTAACATATTGTTTGGTTGGGCTTTTGCAGCTTTAAAAATATTTAAATAATTGGTTACATCTGTGATAAGAGCGAGTTCACAAAGAAATTTCGTATTTACAAAGAGAGATTTAAATTTTCTACGTTAACTATACCGTGTATCTGTGCCGCGCATTCGATATGCAATTGTTTTGATTCCTTCTTGTTTTCCAACCGTTATTGTCGCTGGCAGATCACTTCGTGAAACGTGGATATAAACTCTTATTATTCTTCGTTATTCTTATATATCTCCCAAAAAGTATAAGGTTTCTTTTTTGTGTAGTTTTTTTTTAAGTGTGCGTGCTAATGATTGTGTAATTTTTTTGTCAAACCAGTACGATGGCCAGTGAGCAAAGGTATGAACAACATTTTAATAAGAAATGGGAGGATAGTTTTTTTGCACTTATTGGCAATCACACGGTGTGTATTTTATGCAATTATAAACCTGTTGTTGTGAAAAAATTTATCATTGAGAGACATTATGAACGAAAACATTCAAGTGAATATTCAAAATATGAAGGTCAAGAAAAATGTAATTTAATAGAGGATTTAAAATTAATGCATCAGGAAAGTTCCAGTTCTAATGATAAATCTAATAATGCTAATTTTTCGGTAAAAGCTGTTACTGCATCATATGCTATTTCGCTTCTTATTGCCCAAAATTCTAAGCCGTTTATGGAAGATAATTTTATAAAGGAATGTCTCATCGAGGCAGTAAAATCATTCGGCAATTCATTGACTCTTGCTGAAGCTGTTAGCATTCCTTTGAGTAAAAAGACAGTGGCAGCAAGAATTGCTAATATTGCTTCTTCGATAGAAGAAAAATTAAAATTTTTATTAGCAAGTTGTACCTATTTTTCATTGTGTTTAGATGAAAGCACCGATAATCGACATGTGAGTCAATTAAGTATTTTTGCTCGAATTGTACAAAACGATTTTTCACATGTCGAAGAGCTGTTAGATTTTGTTCCTTACATGACACAACAACAGGTTTAGACATTTTTAGAGCCGTTGAACAAACTCTTCAAAAATTTAACACCGATTTTTCAAAATGTTCAGCCATAGTAACAGATGGCGCAAGAGCGATGACAGGTCAAAAAATTGGTTTCTTCGGTCAACTAAAGCAGCGCAATTTAAAATTCCCCCTTATTCATTGTATTATTCATCAAAAAGCATTATGTGGGAAAGCTATAAAATTATCTACCGCCATGAAAACTGTTACAAAAATCATTAATTTAATAAAAGACGGCCACAAGTTTCTTTCTCATCGTAAATTTCAACACTTTCTCGAAGAGCATAATGCACTTTATACAGATGTACCCCTACATTGTGAAGTCCGATGGCTCAGTGCTGGGAAATGTTTAGAGAAGTTTTTTGCGATAAGAAAAGAGATCTTCCTTTTCTTGCAAGAAATGTCTATTGCCAAAGATGATGACATTAAATCTCTCTTCGAAGACACAGAGTTTCTTTGTGAACTCGTTTTCATCACCGATGTAACTAATCATTTATATATTTTAAATTCAAAGCTGCAAAAAACCAACCAGACAATATGTCAATTAGTTAGTCATATTGACTCATTTCGTAGGAAACTAGTTTTGTTTAAAAATCACTTAGAAAAAGACACTCTTCATTTCTACTCCTCTTGCCAGATTCTCTTCGAAGAATACGGCAGTTTGCAATTAAAAAATATATATTTATTTAATTGACTCTTTAATAAGTCAGTTCGACACGCGTTTCACTGACTTTGAAAGTCTTAGAAGGAGTAAGGACTTAGTTCTGTTTGAAAATCTTTTCACTGCGGAAATCGAAGAACAAAATTTAGAATATCAAGAAGAACTTTGCGATTTGCAAAATGATTTTTCTCTCAAAACGCGTCCAGAAAAAGGAGCGGATTTTTTTAAGATTTTAGATCATTTAAAATACCTAATCTTAAAAATTTTGGTCTTCAAATTTTTTCCATGTTCGGATCTACGTACTTATGTGAATACTCATTTTCGAAGATGAAATATATAAAAACCGATAAACGTTCTTCATTAAGCGATACATTATTAGCTTCATTAATGCGAGCTAGTTCTTCTAACATTCCTATAGATATCCCATCTCTTGTAGAATCATGTAAACGGCCTAGAAAATCAACTTAATTTTTACAATTATTTATTGTTCTTTTGATTTCCGCTTTTTCGCTTATTAATAAATTTTATCACATTATTTTTCTCTTCAGTAGAGTAGGCCTACTAAGGAAACCACTGAAAAAAAAAACGCGTCAGCAATAGTACCTCATGGGTGGCGTGGAAACTATTATCCTAATTATAATTATACAATAATAATTATCCAATAAGGAAACTTTTTCTTCGCCAGTGAATAAAATAAAAGGAGTAGTAATAATTGACACTGACTGGCAATATAATTCTTTAATCACACAACCCTTTGGATCAACGGTTTAACGTCTTTTTCCGAAAGACGGAGCCCAGTTTGCTCCGCACAAGGGGCTCATCTTGCACGGAGGGGCGCAGTTTTCGGAAAAATTCCACGGCTCTAGTGGACTCGAACCTGGTTCTACAGATTACGAGTCTGGCGCTCTACCACTAGACCACACTGCCGCCCAAGTGGCAGTTAAGCCGTTGGTCCAATGGGTTGTGTGATTAAAGAATTATATTGCCAGTCAGTGTCAATTATTACTACTCCTTTTATTTTAATAATGATTATATAGTATCTACATATTTCTACACACACCACGCTTACCGATTTTTTAATCAATTATATTCTATATATATTGCGAAAATAAAGGGATTATTATGTAATTTTGTTATAAGTGTAGC